CTGGGCTGGGGCCCATCTCCAGGGCCTGAATGGCAGAAAAAGCCCTTACAGCCCCATTTGCATCCCACCATCTGCCTTTACAGAAAGAACTGGGCTGTGAACTACAGAGAAAGATCTGGGCACAAGGCCAGGTTCTTGTCTCTGCAATAAGTTTCTCTGGCACGGTTCAGTTTGGCCCATACGTGGTCCTTCAGCCAGATTTCCAGAGAAGGTCTAGCCAAAAACAGTTTCACCTCCTCCCTTTAGTGAAAGCAGAAGAGGAGATGGATTGTGTGGGGCCAGTTGGAAGAGCTGGAAGTGGGCCAGGATGGAGAGGAGATTCAGGGACTGCACTTGCTCTTGGGTGTAGCAGAGCAGATGTGTATTGTGGCTGGTGGAGAAGGTGAGATGGATTTAATGCGGATGTTGTCAGAAGGATGCTGTTTCTGTCCTGAGATCTCCCCAAACCCCTCCCACTAATTCAATATTGGCCTGTCCCATGGAGGCCTCTGGGAAGGGCTAGTTGGTCACCAACCCCAGAGACTCTTCGGGCTTGTCTGAACTGCTGCAGATGTCCTGGAACTGGGGTCCACTTGTGCAGCTGGCCATCGCCATCTCCTGACACCATCTCCTGGCTGTGCCGGTTTGAACTCAGGATACACCACTAAAAGCTGGTACCTCTCAGGAGCCTCCTAGACAGCATCAGTCAGCCCCAGATGTCTCAGCATCAGTCAGACCCAGCTGTTACCAAGGAACTCTGTGCTCATACTATGTGCAGCAGCAAGAGGATCTTGACGGCCTTGCTCCAAGCCTTGTGATCCAAATGGCACTTGGTTGTTTGTGTGCAAATAGCTTGAAAGGCTCTGAGCCAGGCAAGATCACCGCCAGCTACAATGACATCATGGAGTTGTGTGACCTGCTCTTCAGTTCTGCTGCTCCTCTTTCCTGTGCACATCTGGGCAGGGCTTAGCTAACAGCCATGCTGGCAGAGAGGGGGAAGCAGTTTAATCCAAAAGCAGGTTCCAGGTGATGTAGGGCTTTATAAGCCAAAGCCAACATCTTCAAAGCATTCCCATTGCCTGCACCCTAGGCTCTGATGCCCTCTAGGACAGTGCTTCTCAACCTTTGTTGTACCAGGCCCCATTTGTAAACATTGATGGCCAGTAAATAGTTTAAGTAGAAGACAGCCCCCTGGCCCTGCCCAGACCTGCTGCTCCCCACCCCCAGGATGCAGCCCAACAGTGTGTGGGGCAGGGGATGGGTGTGTGGGGCAGCTGGGGCATGTACCCTCTCAGATCTGTGCACCTACAGTAGTCAAGGGGCTGCAGCCTGGTTGGGCCAGAACGGGCAGGAGCTGCCTCTGCTGCCCAGCAGGTGGGACCCAGCATGGGAGAGAGGAACAGGGTGATGAGACTCATTGCTGCCACCAGGACCTTCATGCCAATCATGCCACCAGCAGTGTGAGGAGTAGTGGATGCAGGAGGCAGGGCATGTTGCCCTCACCTACTCCTGCTGCCAGCCACTTGTGCGCCCATCCATGGCCCTACCCCACGCCATTGCCCGGCTACTGCTGCAGCTCCCCTCAGGCCAGCCTCACTGACCCCCACCCCACTTCCCCTCCGGGGTAGAGCCAAGACCTGAGGGGAGTGGCAGTGGTGGCTGAGCCATGGGGATGGGGTAGAGCTGCAGCACAGCACGTGAGCAGCTGGCAGTGGGAGGAGGTGAGTGCACCCCCCTCCCCTGTCCGTTACTTCTCATAGTGCTGGCAGCCCGGCTGGTGTGGGGGTCCTGGCAGTGGTGGGAGAGGTGGCAGCAATAAGTCTTGTCACTGCGCTTCGCCTTCCTGTGCCGGGTCCTGGCACTGGGCTCCAGAGGCAGCTCCTGCCCGTGCCAGTCTGACCAGGCTGCAACCCCATGCCCACTGTGGGCACACAAATCAGAGGGGGCAAATACCCTCCCATGTGTCACCTGTGTCCCCCACCCCCTCCAATGCTTTGTCTATCTCCCCCACCCCCGCCCCATAGATTTACCTGTGGGGAACTGCAGGAGCTGCTCTCCATGCTGCCTGGCTGCCATGTGCAGGTGTGCTTGTACACATGCATGTGGTGCCCCCCTGCCTGATCACCCTCCTCTTTCTCCCCCCAGCCCCAAGCAGCCCCTTGCAGGCTGAATCTCTGGCAGCCTGCAAAGGGAAACTTGTCATTTCCCATGGGTTTCTCCTTTAAAGGAGAATCCATTTTTTAAGTTTGTTCGTGACTCTTTCTTATATTCTTGCAACCCACTTTTGGGTCACAGCCCATGGGTTGAGAAATGCGGCTCTAGAAGCACTCACAGGCAGCTTCCCATAGAATTCCCACCTCTGTGTCAAGCCCTGAGCCAGCTATGGGCAGCATCCAAAACAGAGACCTCTGTGCTAGTCCCTTTTGCCAGGGCAGAGCTCAGGATTCTGAATGTGGAAGTGGTAAAGGCCAGAACCACCTGAGCCTCGAATTAAGGTCAGCTCCAAAGCTCTTTGACATGAATAAAAAGAGTCCCATCAACCTCAGTGGGCTTTAACTCAAACCCTTAATGCATCTTGAAGGGACCACAAGGTCACAGTGTAGAAGAAAATCTTTTCCCCACTTCTGTTGTCAGGCTTGTTTGAGGTCCTTATGCTCTCAGCACAATGATCTTGCTTGCGCAAAGTGAGATATTCTGGCCATATAGAAGTTGGGAATGCAAATCACTGAACACATCAGCACAATGTGCTCTGATTCAACCCCGAGACTGTGATAGAAATTGCTGGGTGAACCTCTCCAGTCTGTGAGGTGGAGCAGCTTAGCTCAAATGGGCTTCTCAGTCTTGCCTTCTGCTCTTAGTATTTGGGCAGGTGTTCCTCCATGTGTATAAAAACAAGAATCCTGAAAGGATGTTTTGTCTGAACTCGTGCATAAGAACTTACGCCACATCATTTGGGTCTGCGGATCTCAAAGAGCCCATGAAGTATTTCATGAGCACAAGTATCACTCCACCTGTGAGATAGGGTATACTGTCATCCCTGTTTCACAGGTGGAAAGAATACAGCACTTTTGAGGTGGCTAATTTGGGAAAGGACCCAAGAGCCCTATCTCTTTATGTTCTCTGCTCTCACTACAAAGCCACATGCCTGCAAAACATGGGCTGGGTCTCAGTAGCATGTGCGGCACTGAGCAAAGTCACTCCCTAGCAGATGCCTGGATCCTGACTTGTTCACTCCTGACCTCTCAGGGTCCCACCATGTTGTTTCATCTGCCATGCTTTGCAGTTATAATTGGACAGGGAGGTTGCCCCTAGAGGGCAGAGGGTTTTGTTTCGGGCCTGAGCCTTGTCCTTCACAGGCTCTGGGGCCCCCAGCCCTGGCCTCCCCCTTTGCGGGTTCTGGGCTTTCAACCCATCTTTGCTATCTGACACCATAGTCCTTCTGCTAACAGCAGCACTTGCCCTCTTTGGAGGGTCTAGGACCTGGGGTGCCCCTGGCACCTTTCTTGGTAACATCGTCCTCCCCTACAACTACAACCAGTTCTCTGGTCTATCAACACAAAGAGAAACGTGAGCATCTGCTCCCAAACAAAAGGTTCCCCTAACCCTGGGTCAACACCATGGTGACAACAAGCTATAGCACCAGGCCCAAAATACTTATCCCCACTGCCTGGTCATGCAGGGGCTTCCTTGCAGCTTCCCTGCTGTCTGAAGTCCTTTCTTTTTGGGCAGTCAGGGCCCTCTCCTCCTACAGCCCCACTCCTGGCAGGCTGCAGGGCCAGACTGACCCCCTTGACTCAGGCCTGGGCTTATATTCCTTTCTCTCGCCTGACCCACTACTTCTGCCCCAGGCCTGCCAGTCACTGGCCACACAGTGCTGGCTGCACTTGGGGTGGGCCATTTTATTAAAGGGCCCTCTGCCTCATCAGTTTGTCCAGAAGGCTGGAGCCGGCCAGCTGAACCCTGGCTCCTTCTCTCTTCAGTGGTAAGGCAGGGGCCCCATTACAGTCTCTTGTGAAATAACTAAAAAAACAAAAACCTAAAGCATCATTCTGTGTTGGCTGGATGCCTGGTGATACTAGGAAATGATCATCATGCATGTAACTCTATCCGGAAAGCAATCACACATATTGAAGGCATTAGTTGGAAACATCTGCCCATGAATCCTGGCTCCCCAAGCCCCCAGCACTGTGTGGTGACAGGAGGACGGGGAGCTTAAGAGTAGACTGAGAAAATTCCCCCCAGGTCAGATGCAAGACAGACCTGAAAGTGAATTCCTAGAGCAGCCACATCCACCAAGAGATCAGAGGGGCCTTCTCTGTAGCATCAAAATGGAAAAGAGAGACAGGGGTGGAAGGAGAGACTGTATTGAATGGGGAGAAGGGGAACAGTGACAGTGATTACGCTGTGATGTTGGTGAGTTTCCCAAGGGGGATCTTGTAAATGAATCACTGCATATTCACTGATTCTCATCTCCCTGCCATTGAGAAACCTCAGGAAGAACCCCACACCACATTTGGTATTGTTTGATACAAACTTCAAATTTGAAAACTATGGAAGGGACTGTCACTCAAGAATTGGGCTGTCCAGTCACACCTGCAGATGTTCAGCAAACTGATGACTCACCGCAATTCTATTGTCTTGTGAGACAGACAGATGCCTACTACTGCTGGTGAAATGAATCGGAGTTTTGCAATGAAGGAGGCTGGTATGTGTAGGAACTGGAAAGTGACTAGAGTTTAGCCAGAGCTGACTGTAAGGGAAAGGATGGCTTTGCATTTAAGACAGTTAAACATCACTCAGAACAGCAGACTTCTGTCCCTTCCTCCCCTGCAGTTTAGGTGATGATGGGAAGTCATTTCAAGCACTTTTCTTGGAGCTCTGGAGAGACAGGCCAGGGGACAAGGCACCTGACCTGGCATGTCCATAGTATGTCTGACTCTGTAAGTTTTGGTTGCTTGCAAGATGTGTAGATAAATAGCTCTTCATTTGAGAAATGACCCAGTCAATAAGACATAGATGGAGACAATCAGTTTTAGTGATGACCCAACTTCTACGTAGGCTGATTGTTAACAGTAAAAGTCCTTTGTCCAGGTCCTACATACTTTATTACACAGATCTGCAGTAGCGCAATCCCACAACCTCCAACCACCTTCTTACAGGAGAGAGAACATGTCAGTTACTAATGTAGCTGAAATTTGCCAATTGCCAAAAATCCAGCAAAGATTTTGAAAAACTTTTGGTAACAAAGCTCCAACTGTGACCGAAAGTGAGTTTTCACGGCAAAGAGAACTGCCATCTAGTCATGCAATAAAACTGCTAAGGCAATAAAACTGCTAAGGTGTTGTCTGAACCATCTGAGTTAGAATCCTCACCCTGCATCATTGTTAACCTTCCATCACTGCCCTGCTGTGCATCCGCAGCAGGCAGATCATGGAATGACTGAGTTTAATCAGAGCAGGACTTGCAGCATAATGTGTATGTGCTCACACTTTTTGATGCAATACTGGCACTCTTAGATGAGCCCATGCTCCAAGCTTGTTTTGCACTGATGGCTTTTGATGATGGGCTAGCAAAAAGGAGCTGCTGGTGGGAGGGTCACAGGAAGCAGAGTAAAGCCTGCCCTGGGTTCTATGCAAAACCTCCCTTGGACACCACTCCCAAGAAGGAAGGGGGCTACTATCTCCAGGGCTTAAGGCCTGAGGGTCCATCCTCAGCTTTTGGATGCTTCCTGAATCTCTCCCATGATCAGCATGAGAGCTTCACCTTGTATCAAACCATGTACGGAATACTCTAAACAGATGTATCTGGACATTAGCACCAAGGCCAGCCTGGCAACTCATTACCCTCCCAAACAGGGTCCCAGGCACAGCTGTATACATCCAGCTCCAAGGCAGGTCATGGTTTTGACTCTAACATGGAGCATCAAGTGGAATTTTAAGGTAGTCAGCTGAAAGGGAAATTGCTCCCTCTACTTATGCCAGTACTTATACAAGGGAAAAGTTTAGGAGGTGGGCACCCTACAGTCTCCTTTCCCCCAGAGAAATGCAGCAGGAAGTAGTTGTAAAGTTTTAAAGGGCAGGAGATGAGACTATGGACACTGACACACATTTAGTTAATGACACCACGGGAGCTGATCCCGAATCCCAACAATTGCACCTCCTGCCATGCCCCATCATACCCTAATTGTGCCCTTTTTACTTGCCAGGGTTCATGATCCAAGACTCCCCCAGTACCAGCAAGTTGAAAGCCAGATACCCACAAGTCTGGGACTGGGCTGGAGCTGATAACCAGCTGCTTGTTGGTCCTGGGGCTGGATCTGACATACATTCAATTTAAGGTGCCATACAAACCAGCCAGAAAATGTTCTACACCTTTATGGCTGGTTTACCATTTTATGGCTCCTTAAACTGGATGCATGTGTAACATCCTTGCCATTTATGCCACTATCAACATGTGTCATATAAGAGGTAGTTCTAGCAGAGGGAAGTTTTGCTAGGCTTCAGTCCAATAGAGTAGCAAGATAGTCATGGCTGGTGCACAGTGGAGGCAGAGGTGCTGATCAGGTCCTGGGGAAGGCTCTCGCGTGCTTCCTGCATCCGTCGCCGTGCCTTCTGGAATGCCTCTGCAACAGAGCAACCAAGACTGGGTTCAGCACCTATGGAAGCATGCTAGCTAAGATAGCCAGATGGGATAGCCCCTCCTCAAGACAGACTAACACCATCTCTTTCTCTGTCTGGATGGGGAGAGTTCACGGGCTATGACTAACTTTACCCTCAGTGAAGCACGAGACCACAGCTCTCTCTTCATCCTCCTCCCTCACAACCAATTTTGGCTCCATGCTGCAGTACCCCATGATAGCTGCATATTATGTTATGTCAGAGCTAAGGGGTACTTCTGCTCCAATTTCCACTGCATGAGACATAGAACAGCAAGGCTCTTCTCTGAAGTCAGTGCCTGCCTGTATCTTAGCTGATCAGGCTGATCATTCACTGACTTTGCTAGCTCAGCAAAGGCTTTACCCTAGTGGAAACTCTGTTGAGCTACTCACAGGGAACTGATGTTTCATGCAACTGTTTACCCTCTGTCCTTCTGCGTTCAGTCAAAAAATCTCTGCAGGGAGGAAAGCCAGAGGGGCCTTCTACACAATAATTTTTTTTCTGAAACACCCCAATCTCTCCTCCACTTCTTCTGAAGTAAGCAAAGTGAACCAGAGGTTCCCCATTTGGCCAAGACAAAGAAAGAACTCACCGAGGACAGTGTAGAGAGAGTTCTGCTGGCTGAAGCCTCCCAACCGGTCCAGCACACTCTGCATGCGCGTCCTCTGAGCACTGGACTCTAAGAAGGCCCTGCATGGAAGCAGAGAACTGGGTTATGTCTGGAACCACCAGCACACAAACTGGGGGAAGATGTGGCACCACTTACTTGGATTGTTGCAAGCAGTGAAGCCGGAAAGTGACACTCCCTGTTGTCTCTGTGCGGAAGCCAAAGCGGCTCAGACGCTCTCCCTGTGGGTATAAGACAAATTAAAGCAGTCCTGCCTGCAGCTGGCGAAGCCAAGTTGACCCCCAGGGAAAGGGATCCCTTTCAAGAGGATATGGGCAGCACTGGTGCATGGAGTCTCCCTGTTCCGAAGCAGTTCAGAAGCTTGGATGCCAGCTTCCCAGAAGGTACTGAGAAGTGCAGACATAGCTTTCAGCTGCGCTAAGGACAGGGCTCTTTGGGGAGCTGACAGTGTAGCGGGGGGAAAGGTTAAACTCTACTCTTCTCTTCAAAGCATAATCCCAACCCATACAAGAGAAGGGATCATACTTGCCCTTATACAGATATAAAGGAATTTAGTGCTGCTGTGAACAGTGCTGGACCAATCACCACGCTTGAGAAAGCAGGCCAAGGCCAGGAGTGGTACTACAAGCCTCACATAAACAGGAACTCCTGGCAGGACCCGTTGCTCAGCCATGTTGATCCACCTGTCCTTTGGTCCATGTTCAGGCTATCCAGAAGGGGACCAGTTCTCGGGATGGGTTCAAGAAAGCTCCCATGGCTGGGACCTCAGCTCATCCCTGCATGAATTTGGCCCAGGTTGCCTTCAGTGGCTTCCCATGGAAGGAACAGAATCTGTAGCCCACTATGAGGGAGCAAAACAACCCCTGAGGTGAATCTTGCCTTGAAGGTTGTTGGCACCCTGACATAAGTCATGTCCTCCAGTTCAGGGGAACCACCAATGAAAAACCTCTTCAGCTCAGAGACTGTCCCCAGCTCCACAGGTCGCCAGGTGGGGACTGTCAGGGTGTGGAACCCTGTACCAGGACAAGAAGGAAAGCAAACAGGTAATTCCATATTCTCACAGAGAAATACACGGGAAGATGGCCAGATCCTTCCCTGCCCTGGACTGGATGAAAATAGACTGTGTGACAGACCTCATCCTCCCCTACAAACACACTCCCTGAACACCTAGCAGACCTACCCCACTTAGATACATCTAATAATAGAGCAACCGAATGCATTTAATAATCCAAGCCCTTAAATATCACACTTTGCATTCTTCCCTGAGCAGAATTACATTTACATAATGCTCTGCATTTCTGTAGCACTTTCCATCTACAAGACTCAAAGCTCTTGGCAAACAGCTTCTCCAACCTTTGTGGGTAGAGAAGGATTACTTCTACCCAAGGGTGGATCCAGAGAGGATGCACTGGCGTGGCTGCACCCACTTTTCTGACCACATAGCAGGAGCTGCAGCCGGGGACTTTTTTAAATCCCCAAAATAGGTAAGAATTCCCTGCTTTCCCTCCATGCTCAGAAGCATGTCCCTGCCTGCTGCTGCTGCTGCTGTCTCCACTGTCCCAAGGGCAAGGGGAGCTCCTGTCCCATTCCAGTCAGGCTGTGCAGGGGTTGGGCTCAGTCTGAAACAGTGACAGCAGTGGATGAAGGGGGTTCCCTTCCCAGCATGGTCCCCCTGTATGTTTCCCTCCAACCTGGGAACAGACATGGGGAGGGGGAACCCACCTGCTCACTGCTGCTGGGCCCAGGACCCTTTTTACCCTCCTGGAGTGGATCTGGAGCTCCCCTTCCTCTGGGGACAGCAGATACAGCACCAGTGGCAGGTGGGGGGCAGAGGGAGGGAAGGTGGGCCGGAAGAAAGGCGAGGAGAGGGGACATGAGTAGGGAGGCAAAGGGAGAATTCTTACCTGTTTTGGAGGCTTAAATAAGTCCCCAGTGGCTGCTCCCGTGGCACTATCTGCCAGCCCTGGGAAGTTCAGGGGGTGAGAGAGTGGGGCTGGGAGCAGGGCTTGCAGCTACTCTTGCAGTAAAATCCTGGATTTACTTTTGCTCCTATCTTATGGAAGGGCGAGGTAATGGCATAAAATGCCAGCATATGGTTGTTGAATGCTACCTGATGGAAACAGGGAAGGAGTAAAGCCAGCAATGTTTGTTGTCTCCTACCAACAACACTGAATACTGCATGACACAAACCCAGTTTTTCCTCAGTGCTTCATTTAGGGCAAATTATCATTTGCCTCAGCATGCAGTGATGGAACTCTCTTTCCAGAACCAGATAATCAGTTGAGTCCTATGCTTGTGAAGGAGAATTTCCAGACAGTGGCACCTAACATTCCAGCCACTTGACATACTGTCCATTTGGGAGACTTTACCTGGAGCTGATGGCAGTATTACAGAGCCGTAGCCTTCAACACGGTACCTCTGCCAGAAATCCAGCGATAGAACCTCAAAGTAGAGCACAGGCCACTGTGGGAGAGAGCCTGAAAGGAGATAAAAATGATAAGAATCCTAAACAAGCCTCACTAGGGTCACCTGGTTATGGAGAACAGGCTTCCTAAGTACTAGGGGGATTTCTCATGCCAATGTTTCCCTGGGGTTTGACTATTTGCTACATATATTACATCCAAACAGTGACAGCGAAAACATTTGCTGGATGGGATGGAAAACTCTGCCCTTTGCTTCCCTTGCTCCATAGGGAGAACCCCTGTGAAGGGCTATTGCGTGTCAGGCCGTGTGGTGCCTATATCGCAATACACTGGCAAGGAAGTTTAGACAAAGATGCCCTTGGGCAACAAGGAATCTCACCTTCTGATTCATCTTCTTGTGTAAAAAACATCTCCAGGGTGAATGGGTACGAGAAGTAAGCCACCTCATCCTAGGAAAGAGGAACAGGGCAGAAATCAGTCAATCACCTACATTGTGCAGCACATGTCAAGAGCAGCCCAGGGTGGGGATGGGACAAGTCAATGGTGCCCTGGCCATGATCAGTCCCACAAAGAATACATGATCTCCTTAACCTTGGAAGTCCCCAAGAAGATGCCAGGAATGAGAACTGCACCCTACTGAGTACATGAATCCCACGGCATTACTCCGCTCAGGAAGCCAGCACGAGCACACTGAGCTCCTTGTAGGAGTAGCAGTGTCAGAAGCCCATCACACTACGTGACTTCACTATCATAGAGTCCTGGTTTTGCCTCTTACCCTGCCTAGTTCCTTGGTAGCACATGTCTGTGTCACCCCGGAGAGCTGCTGGAATGCTGGGCTCGACCAATCTGGCAACAGAAGAACAGACCATGAGCAAGAAGACTAGTGCTGTAGGAAAAAAGCATGAGGCAGGACTCAGCCTGTGGCAATTTGGGCTGTTCTAGAGCAGCCTGCAGCATAGTCAGGGGAGAGTGTGAGGCCCCTGACACTTACCACATGGTGAGCTCCCCCAGAGACTGCATTGCCCTTTTGCTGCACCCAGCTACTACTTTAGGGAGAACCCTGAGACTGGGTACTATGGGATCAACAACACTTGGACTTACCTAAATGTTATTTGACAATCAAACATAGACAATGGCTGTACCACCAGAGACAGAGAGAGAGAAAGAAACCAACAGAAGGCTAATGGCGATCAGGAGAGGTCCCAGATGATTGGAAAAGGGCAAATATAGTGCCTATCATTAAAGAAAGGGAAAAAGGAGGATCCAGGGAACTACAGACCAGTCAGCTTCACTTCTGTCCCTGAAAAAATCATGGAGCAAATCCTCAAGGAATCCATTTCTAAGCACTTGGAGGAGAAGAAGGTGATTAGGAACAGTCAGCGTGGATTCACCAAGTGCAAGACATGCCTGACCAACCTGATTGCCTTCTATGACAAGGTGACTAGCTCTGTCAATGTGGAGAGACCAATGAATGTAATATACCTTGATTTTAGCAAGGCTAAAACAACGTTCTCGCAGGCAGGTTAAGGAAGTACAGGCTGAATGAACGGACTGTCAGGTGGATAGAAAACTGGTTGGAGCATCGGGCTCAGAGAGTAGTAATCAATGACTCAATGTCTAGTTGGCAGCCGGTATCAAGTGGAGTGCCCCAAGGGTTGTTCCTGGGGCCAGTCTTGTTCAATATTTTCATCAACAATCGGGAAGATGGCATAGAGTGCATCCTCATCAAGTTTGCAGATGACACCAAGCTGGGGGAAGTAGTAGATACACTGGAGGGTAGGGCTAGGATTCAGTGTGACCTAGACAAATTGGAGGATTGGGCCAAAAGGAATCTCATAAAGTTCAACAAGGAAAATGCAAAGTCCTGTACTTTGGATGGAACAAGTACTATACCGGGGGGGCTGACTGACTGGGCAGCAGCTCTGCAGAAAAGGACCTGGGGGTTACAGAGGACAATAAACTGAATATGAGCCAGCAGTGTGTCCTTGTTGCCAAGAAGGTTAACAGCATTGCATTGCAGGCTGCATTGATAGGTGTGTTGCCACCAGGTGAAAGGAAGTGATTATTCCCCTCTATTCTGCACTGGTGAGGCCACATCTGGAGTACTGTGTCCAGTTTTGGGCCCCCCACTACAGAAAAGATGCAGACAAACTGGACAGAGTCCAGCAGAGGGCAACAAAATGGTGAGGGGGATGATCTAGTTGGGGATGGTCCTGCTTTGAGCAGGGGGTTGGACTAGATGACGTCCTCAGGTCCCTTCCAACTCTAACTTTCTATGATTCTGTGACCCCTACGCTATAACCCCAGACAAAAGGAGCAAGAACTACTAATGAGATTAACGACTAATGAGATTAACCAATGAAACTGACATCTAAGAATTTAAAATAGGGGCAGCTGGGCTCAGAGCCTGACAAATAACAAAGCAGTACAAGTGCATGTATCAAGGCCAGCAGGGTCTTCCATAGTGTGATGCACCACAACGCCGAAGAACATCTTGCACCTGGGAATCAGAGTCACATAGCCATGCAAAAACCAGGAAGGAGCACACCAAAGCCATGCCAGCTGGATTAGTGTTAGTGTAGTGCATATGAAAATGAAACACCAGGCAGTGTGAACCACTATACAGCCCACTTGTTTATGTCAAGCCATGCAATATCATACTTTTAGCTCTGGAATAGAATCTTAGTACCAGCCAAGATGGCAGCCATCAAATGAATTTTTTCTTGCTTTTGAAAAATGCTAATCTAATGGATCCTGCCACCTGATTGATTTCCTATGGCCTGTGACATGCCTGGGACTTTGACTCAAGGACTAGATCACAGATACTCACGAGCAGGCAGTTCCAAGAAGAAATGAACGTAGAGATTGTCATATTCATATCCTTGGGCTGAAACTGAAAGGAAAGGACTATAAAAATGGGGTCTCCTAATCACACTCCAAACTCCCTCATGCCACTGTATTGTCTGGGAGATGCAGTCCCATTGCTAAGGGGTTCCAAAAACTTCTCAGTGAGAAAAAGAAATTACTGCAACTGGTGAGCATAAAGCAGGCTCTTCATAGCAACTGGACAAAATTCCCTAAGGGAGTTTCCTTGAATGGCTAAAATTCTTTTCCCCACAACATCACCCAGGCTACAGAGGCTTCCAGCCAAATTCATCTCCTTGCTGTGGTCTCCATTACTGCCCTATCTTGGCTCCTGGCACATCTGCAATTAGCCAGAAGTGATGGGAGGTGTTAGGAGTGAATCACTCAACATCCTTCAGTGCTTCTGACCTAGTCTGGACTGGAAACCCAAACTCCCCTGACTTTTCCTCAGTGCAGGGGTCCAAAAAGCAGCATGCCAGCTTCTATCACCCATCCGAAACAGGCACTCACCTATCTCTCCATTCACAAAGAGTCGGAGTGTACCAGGGAGCGTCTGAGGGTGAGAGAGAGAAACAGCTCAATGACAACTGATTGATCCTTGTGCATCCCCCTCTCAAGAGGGCCCTCCATTAACAGCACCTGGTCACTGCAGGACATTTCAATTACTTATGCTAGGAACCCTAACTCTTTGATTAGCTCTCTGCTGGTGAAAGGAGAGAAGACGCCCAAGGGCAAACATCCCAACTTCTCACATGATCCAGTTCAAGCTGTCCAGAACTGAATAATTCTTCCCCACACTCTTCAGATAGGCCCAATCCCCACAAGGTGAAAGATCACCATACTCTGATAATCAGGCTCCTTGCAACATTTCAGATGGTGCCCCTAAAACTAGTAATCTGTGAGAACTTGGGGTGCATCAATAAAGATTTTTTGGACCAATGCTGATGGCCAATTATTAACAAGCCATATCGGCTGATACCAATTCAATTGCCAATATGCAGCCCGGTAGCTTGGAGAGCAGTGTTGGGCTAGTAAGTCTGTTGGGGTGAAGTTGTGGGGGGAGGGAAGAGGAATGGTGGGGGCAGATGAAGGCCCCCGCAGTGAGGGAGGGAGTGGAGATGGCCCCATAGCCCCCCTCTCAGCACTGGCACTGCCTGCCACAAGCACAGCCCTGGCCCAACTGTCCGTCCGTCCCCCCCTCCCCGCTTGCCGGAAAGAGCCCAGCGCTGCCCCCAGCCCACAGCAGCAGCCCACCCTCGCCTCGCACACAGATCTGGGGGACATATGCCCCCCATGCTTCCCCTGGGGGCGCGCATAGCAGTGGGAGTCAGCCCCACGCCACGCTTCCCAGATGAACTGCTTGTGGCTCCACCCCACGCCCTGCCCTGCCCCAGCTGGGCAGCCCCTGCTCCTACCCCAGCCCTATCCCCAACCCCAGCCCTACTCCCTCCCTCGCTGAGCACTCATAGTGCTCTGGTGTGGTGCCAGAGAACTGGAAAAGGGCCAATGTGGTTCCCATTTTTTAAAAAGGGAGGAAGGAGGACCCAGGAAACTATAGGCCAGTTAGTTTTACCTCGATCCTGGGTAAGCTTTTTGAGAGAATTATCTTGGCGCTTGTCCGCGTGGGACCAGCAGGGGAGATTATGCTTAGGGGCAACCAACATGGGTTCATTAGAGGCAGGTCCTGTCAGACCAACCTGGTGGTCTTCTATGACCAGGTCACAAAATCCTTAGATGCAGGAGTAGCAGTGGACGTAGTCTTTCTGGACTTTAGGAAGGCCTTCGACACTGTCTCTCACCCCATTCTCATTAAAAAACTTGGGGACTGTGGCATTAACATCTACACAGTCAATTGGGTCACTAACTGGCTGAAGGGCCGCACCCAGAGAATAGTGGTGGACGGGTCCTATTCGACCTGGAGGGATGTGGGCAGTGGGGTTCCCCAGGGCTTGGTCCTCAGGCCTGCACTGTTCAACATCTTCATCAGCAACTTGGATGAGGGGGTAAAATGCACCCTGTTCAAATTCACAGATGACACTAAGATGTGGGGGGAAGTGGGCATGCTAGAAGGGAGGAATAGGCTGCAATCGGACCTAGACAGGTTACAGGGGTGGGCGGATGAGAACAGGATGGATTTCAACACTGACAAGTCCAAGGTACTGCACCTGGGGAGGAAGAACCAGCAGCATACCTAGAGGCTGGGGAACTCCCTTCTTGTTAGTGCAGAGGCAGAAAAGGATCTTGGAGTCATTACTGATGCCAAAATGAACGTGGGCCGACAGTGTGGGGACGTGGTCAGGAAGGCCAACCGTACCCTGTCATGCATCCACAGATGCATCTCAAGCAGGTCCAAGTAGGTGATCCTCCCACACTATGCAACACTGGTCAGGCCGCAGTTGGAGCACTGCATCCAGTTCTGGGTGCCACACTTCAGGAGGGATGTGGAAAACACAGAGAGGGTCCAAAGGAGGGCCACTCGCATGATCAGGGGGCAGCAGGGCAGGCCCTACGAGGAGAGGCTAAGGGACCTGAACCTGTTCAGCCTCCACAAGAGAAGGCTGAAGGGGGATCTAATGGCTGTTTATAAACTAGTCAGGGGGGACCAGCAGGCATTGGGGGGAGTCCCTGTTCCCCCAGCACTACCAGGAGTGACTAGAAATAACAGTCACAAGCTGGCAGAGGGTAAATTCAGACTAGACATCAGGAGGCGCTACTTCACTGTCAGGGCAGCTAGGATCTGGAACCAACTTCCAAGAGAAGTGGTGCTGGCTCCTACCCTCGGGGTCTTTAAAAGGAGGCTAGACGAACACCTTGCCAGGGTCTTTTGACCCTAGTACTCTTTCCTGCCATGGCAGGGGGTCAGACTTGATGATCTGCTCATGTCCCTTCCAACCCTACCAACTATGAAGCTATGAAACTATGAAGGGGCCTGGATCTGCCCCCTCCATGTCCTCTCTCTCCCCCATTCCCTTTCCCCCCCCCCAACAGACTTACTAACTGGTTGCTGCTCTCCAAGCTGCCTGGCTGCACTCCTGGCCACGTGCATACTGCAGCTGTACACATGCACGTGGCATTTATCAGCGGCATTATTGGCCACATTAGCCAAAAAAACCTGATTGACGATAATGTCAATTTTCATTTAAATCGGTGCCGATACAATATGGACTGATATATCGGTGCACCTCTAATGGAAACCATGATCCTCTCTCTCCCTAGATGGTTCCCGCTGAAGCTTAAGTGTAACACAGCTTTGGAAGAGGTTTCCCAAAGCACAGGAAACACCTTGTTTACACTTAGCTCAAAAACCTGTCACCCCATTGGATCAAAAACCAAGCAGGAGAGATTCTAAACATCAGTGATTTTCTGAGCAATACATGTGAGGCTAAAACAAGGGCTTGAACAAAACATGTACTCTAGCTGAGTGGTATGCAGGTCTGAATGATATACAGGATTAAACAGCATGCAGATATCCAAAATATCACAAAATTATTTGTTAATGTTTCAAGTACTGAGGACTCCACACCATTGATATATATTACTCACCATCTCAAATTCTGAGCCAACAAGACCACTAAGATACTCCTTGTGACGACTATACAACTGAAAAAAACAAGAGTAAATCAGAAAAAGTACCTGCAAGCCATTGTACAGCAACCATTGCAATTTCCAGACGCATTACAGCAAACAATCCCAAACTAGGAGATGCATGAGGAACACAGCCCCAAACCACAGGGACACAGATAAAGAGAAGTGGTACCTGCACTGCAGGAGTGGCAATAAAAAGATGAAGTTTGAGTACACTGAGAAGGAGGAAGTGAACTACATCAAGCAATATCTTTGGAGACCTAGGAACTCAGCTGAAGAGGGGATGGACACATGGACATCTCAACTTTCCAATGAAAAAAGTGCTGGCAGCACTGGAATCCCTTCAGTAGTGACTCCTGGATTGCAGTCTCAGCACTACCACATAAGGCATCAAATATGCGGTCAAACAGCCTGATAGATTATTAGGCAGTCTTCAAAGTAGTTTGGGGAAAAGGTGAAGAACAGTGATGGTTTAACACAAATGGCCTAGTATGTACTTCCACAATAATCCAGGACAAGGTAGGCTCAAAATGAAAAAATCACATGCTCAAACATTTCCATAGATATACACAGAGCATAGATGTTCTGTGCAAACAGAGGGAGTGATCTAGAGCTTGCTTCAGACAGGATGAAGCAGGAGGATAAGCTCAGCAAGGGAAGTGGCTGGAGAAGGAAGAAGAAAGAGCTAGAAAAGGTCTTTTCAGTTCCGCTAATTGAAGGAACATCTCTAAATCCATCTCTCTGGAAAGGACTCTCTATTTCAGAAAAATACTACTCTCTACTATTTCATAACATGGAGTCTTTAGTTTTCTTGGTGTGTTACGGAGCCTCCTGATTACCAGGTGTGCAGGGAGGTAGCAGATAGATCAACTAGGATATGCTAGGAGAGAGTTATGCTGTAAGAATTTCTTGGGAGGCATAAAGGAGTACTGTAACAGCAGTTTTATGCTAGATATGAGCTCTGACTAGTTTGTATTACTGGTTGATTTTAATTATGCAAGGAGCCTAGAGTCTGAAATAGATGACAGTAACAGCACATGCAAAAATTTGAGAGACATAAACCACAAGTCTAGAATGAATAACAGCCCAGGAGAGAAATATTAGAGAGGTGAACCTCTGAACTGAGAGAGAAAGGGACAAGGAGGGACAGGTTCCCCTAATGCAGGGGTGGGCAAAATATGGCCCACAGGCTGTATCCAACCTGACAGTTGATCCTAATCAGGCTGCCACTGCCAGAAGCCTGAGGAGGGAGGACTGTGCTCTGGGCTGCTCTGCTGCAGCTGGGGCTGGGCCAGGCTGAGCTGACTCCTCCGTCCCCCTTCCCTCCCACACCTGACTTCCTGTTGGCGCTGCAGTTGCAGTCTTGGTACTGTGGCTGCTGGCAGCTGGGCCCACACGGGACGGGGTGTGATGCAGCACAATAAATAGCCATCATGCCTACCTGTCACAATAAGCCATTGCCACTGTGGCACAGTTAGTCCATACCAGTCATGGGCTTGGCTTGGGGCAGCCGCCCCCAACTTTCCCAGTGCAGCACAGTGGTGGCAGTGGCTCACTGCGGTGAGCAGGACAGCTACTCAGCACAATGCACTGCACCCTGTCCTGTGCGGGTCCCGCTGCCAGGACTGCACAGAGCCAACAGGAAGTCAGGCTGGGGGGGATAGATGCAGTGGAGCAGTGGAGTCTGCATGCTGCCCAGCCTGGCCCCAGCTGCAGCAGAATGGAGTGGTGCAGGATGCAGCCCTTCCTCTTCAGGCTTCTGGCAGTGAGCGGCAGGCCAGATAGGATCAACTGACCTCCCCCCTGGCCCTCAACATCTCACCAAAACTTTTTAAGTGGTCCTTCAGCCAAAATAATTGCTCACCCCTGCCCTAATGAGAATACTTCTGTTATCAAGAAGACAGCTATAAAATGAGAAGTTTGATGCTGAAGCTCTTTCAGCTAAGATACAAGGAATGAACAACAGTCACTACGGTAGGTATCTGCTACAGAAGCTCAGGACTGAAAGAAAACTTAAATACTACAGGAGACTTTAGTCATGAGTGATTTTAGCTACTCATATTGTAGTGGAGAAACCACAAAACCACACCAGGAAAAGCCGAACTCCCAAGGTCAAATTAGAGCTGGAACACAGACCAGCTGTTTGATTTCCAGACTGGGCAAGCAGGGTTTATTCATTCTCAGTGCCATGCTAACTAGCGCTGCACTTCTCTTCACTCAGTTTCCCTGTATCAGATTAAAGGAGAACCAAGTCTGGACAGCAACAAATAGATCTCTTTTGCATACAGAAAAATCATTCCAGGTCCTGTCTCAATCTGTGTCATATGAACCAAATACCCAACAGTCTTTAGGCAAAGCAGGTCCTTACATCTTTGAACACGCGCTGCTCCCGTTCCTCTTCCTCTTGCTTCACCTGGGGTGAGGCATTCTCAATGGTGTATTTCCACAGCTCTCGCTTCTCACCATCCAGCTCAATCCTGCACAGCCCCAAAATGCAATGAACAAGACTTAGAATAGACAAGGAACAGATCCAGTGCCAACAACAGGTGTGCCAACCCCAACATAGTCCCAGAAGCAGCCGTAACCCTAACATACACCCACCCATGAGGGCCTACCCAGCAGCAGGGGCTCATTAAGAAAACCATCAGGATATATATGTCTGTGCCCTTGTCACTCAAGGATCAAAACTTCCCCTTTTCAAGGGAAAGGGGGAAGCTCTCTCTCAGGACTCCCCAAGAGGCAGCCTTATTCAGTCTGTCTCCTGAGAGACAGCGCTAGTGTGTCTTCACAAAGGGCTTAAAGACCCTGGCTCTTCTCAGCCCCTGGCTTCTGTGATCTGTAGCACTCACGCCTATTGGAGCTCCTTCTTATCAGTCAGCTCCTGGGAAGAAGAGAGAGTGTTTTCTTCTTTTTAAGATGGATATCAGAGTGCCGAATGTCCCATAGCACCACAGACTCTGCTCCAAAACAAATGGTATTTATTGTGCCATTCCAGTTCCCTTTGTCCTCACTTGGACTATTCCTTTACTCTTGGTCCACCCTGGGACCTTATCCCAGTCCACTCTAGACCTTCTTTCCCACCTGGCTGTCTCAGAGCCTGGCTCATTCAGCCACACTTGCAGCAAACCAGTTACAAAACTATAGCCTTAACCTGGGGACAACCTCACTCAATACAACGGAACATTATGTCATGGGAAACCAAACTCAGAGTAGTCTCCGAGACCTGCTGTCAGGTCTAGACTGCCACATGCCCCTGGAGTGAAAATGGCATATGTCCTACTTAAGTAACTATTTACAAGAACTATTTACAGGAGAGGAAGACCAAATAAGCCTGCTTCTTGTGGGAGTCCCAAGGAAGAGCTTTCCCCTTCCCCTTGAAAAGGGACATAATGCCCTATATGACAGCACTCCATATAAATACATCTTTCTTACCTACCTGGGTAGTGAGCTGCCTATTCAAGAGCCTCAACAAACAGGCACAATGACAAGATGACACCAGGCAGAACCATGATATTATCCTGCAGGCATCTCAGATCATGCTTCCTAGCAAAGTGTTAAGTTGCAGGATCTCCGAACTAGACACCCCCTTTCACAGTATGAAAGGTGACCCATGAAAAGTAATTTCAGTCCCTCATCATGCAGTTAGTCCTGCCCAGCTCACCTGTAAGCACCTTTGGTGCCTGTGAAATCTGGCTTCACTGTGATCACCCCATTGCTGTCCACCTTGATTGTGCAAAGAACATGTTCATACTCCCTGTGGCCAAGCCTGGGACAGAAACCAAGAAACAGCAATGGAGTCTGAATAGAGCCAGCAGACCTTTGGAATGACAGCTCACGTGTGTACATAGGGCAGAGGGGGTTCAGACTTATCTGTATCCCTACTCATTAGAAAGATGGGAGGAGGAGGGGAGGAAAACATGTACAATGCCTCCCACAGAGATAACAAGTAGGAGAAAACAACAGCTGGTATTGTTGAAGCTCTTGGGAGTCCCTCGATCCCCTTCTGCCAACTTGTGTAAGGGGTGGGAGCTTTGATAAAGAGGGGAAGAATAGAGGTTCACATCCAGCAAACCAACTCACTCTGAGCATTTCCTTACTTTCCATATGCTCCCAAGTCTGCCATAATATACATGGTCTGAACAGGGGTGTTGATGACATGGTTATTCTTAATAAATTCTTCCGAGGGCTCCCAGGTGATGATTCGTGACTTCAGAGTGCTCCCCTCCCTGCCAAGGATACCACAGAATGCTATTATCCACACTCGCCAAGCCACTCTATAAAACACATCATGACACCAGTACAAACTACCTGAGTACAGACAACAGTGTACATGGTGAGATGCACACCCTGGGATCCCAGCACGAGAAGCCACAGCACCAGGCTCTGGATGGAGAAGCCATACCCAGATGGGCACCAGTGCTGGAATCCACTCTCAGTTTGTTCTGAGTCATTCTTTATACTCACATAGGCCTGCGGTCCTGTCTTCTCCTCCTCACATTGGCCATCCTTTCTGCCAGATGTGATGTCACCTCATAGTCTGAGTTGGTCATTTTCTGACAGTGCTAGAAGAGAAGGCAGGAAGTGAGACTGTTATTCCTACACAGGAACAGGCTCTCTTTCCCATGAGAAAGGCAGAACCATTTAATGCCAGAAGATTTGCCCTTCTCCCTTCTGAGCTCCAAAGGCCATAGCAAGAACGCAGGCAATTACATGTAAATACAGACACACACGCATGCTCCTCTCAGCTGCTCTAGGGCACAGAAAGCCTGAAAAGCCTTGGATCTCCCCTGTGAACAGCCCAGCACAGAAAATAGCCCAGCTGTCAGGTGACTGCAGATTTCATCCTCCATTCTTTTAACTTGGCACATTTGAAGCTCTACCTTGCTAAGTCATCCACCATTTTGACAGCTTCCTCTTGGCTTTCATTGTGCAGCTCTCAGAAAGAGGCAGAATTGGGGCAGTAGGTGGGAGTACCTTGCAGAAGCAGTGCATTCTACTGCCCTAAAAAGCTGTCCTCTCAGAGTCCTTGGGTTCAGTTGATGCAGGACCTGGCCATGTTGAGAGAGATGACTGGCGGCAACAAATTAGGCATGATTAACAACAGATACCTCCTCCAGGTTGGTGAATCGGTCATGGTCTGTGTAGGTGAAGATGCGGTAGTTTTTCCGGCCTCCTGTCTTCTCCAGCTTCAGGATCTCCTGGTGATACTGCCGATCCAGGGGAGACTGACAGGCTGACTCATTTTGATACAGATCCACCTCAAACTAGGAATGGCACAGTAAAAACAGAGATTTTGGCATAACATGGATAGCAGAGATTAGAACCAGGAAAAGCCTCACGGCTGAGATTTTTTAAAGAAGCCACAGCGAGTTAAGTGCCTTTGTAAAGCCCAGTTTTTAGCCCGGGGTGGACAATTATTTGGGCTAGAGAACCACTAAATGAATTTCAGTGAGCTGTTGAGGGCTGCATGAGCACCTATGTGCACATGCACACACACACACACACACACACACACACACACACACACACGAGCTCCCCAAAGCCAGGCCAAGTCTGGCACCAGAATAGCAGCAAGAGTGGGAGCATGAGCCCACCTGGGGCAGTAGCATCTTATCTCGGCTCCTCCATGCTCTCTGCCCCTGTGCTGCCCAGCTTGGCTGCCAGCAGGTAGCAAGGGGCCTAAGATCCAAGCTGTGCAAGGGGCAGGGCTGTGGCATTTGCAGCCCCACAGAGCCCAGCTGCAAGGGGGTGGGGAACGCCCCCAACTCTTAGTCTTCCCTCTCCCCCCTCCCCGGCTCGCTGTGCAAACCCCAGCTTGGAGGAAGCCAGGACGGAGACTCAGTTCCCCCCCTCGCCTACTCCCCCAACTGCGCAGGCCTCTGGTGTTACAGGAGACACTGAGCAGAAGCAGCCCTGCCCACACAACACCATGGGATTGGACTCCATCTCCTAGCTGCCATGCAGTGCCAGGCAGGTGGGGCTGCTTCAGCCCAGCATCCCCTGTCACATCAGCAGAAGCCAGAGACCCCCACCCCACCTGTGGGCCCGCCAATTGATTCATTGATTCTATCTGGCCCATAGACAGGGGACAGCTCCGGCTCTGGCCTCTGATGGTGCCACAGGCCAGACAGAATCAATTGGCAGACCAGATACAGGCCATACTGTATTTTTCCCACCCCTGTTTTAGCCCTACCCTTAGTTCTTTAGGTCTCAACTAGGCCATTCCCCAAGGCTTGAGGTACTCTTGCACTGACATCACCCACAGGGTTCCAAGGTGCTTCTAGGTATGGCCCATTTTCTTCTCACAATACCGCTGCCTGAAAGTGACTTGAGCCACTTTTACAGGTAGGGGAACTTGGGCACAAAGAGGAAGCATGGCTCACCTGAAGTCACACAGAGTTATTGGGACAGATAGAAACAAAACTCTTGGTATCTTTTAACTTGCATTTCTGACCTTTAGCCCAACCACACATTCATTCTTACAAAGGCCATCATGTGATTTCATTTTAAGCAGGTTTCAAGCAACAGGATCTTCACTTCTCTCCTGGGGAGGCAATTCCACAAAATGATAAACCCCTCTGCTGCATGGAAGTGGTGTTCTGTATTCATCTTCCATTTTGTCTGTTGTAGTTTGATCCTGTCATTTCTAATTATTACTGCATTAACTTGTGGCCTGATCCTGGAGACAGATGTCAATACATTTACTCATGCAGGGAGTTCCATTCCTTCTGATGGAATTACTTGGCTGAATAAAGCTGCTCAAATACATGCATGCAGGACTGAGCTAAGGTTGATTTAGTGCTTTAGTGGCTGTAATCAAATGAAGTACACAGATTCTTTGTAGTATTAAATTGGATAGCTCCATCAAAAAAATGGTGAAAATTTAGGTCACAGCCATGTTTCAACTGGAGACAAAAAGCCCCTATCTATAGGAGAACAATATTTGTGAAAAAAAGGCTGATGCATTACCATTTGGTCAACATCTAAGGAAGTTTCATAGAAACTAACTATGCAAAAATTAAGATGGCCAATTCTTGTGAGAGTAAGAAGGAAACATTAAGGCCGTGCTTTACACACAGATTCAGACCTCCGCCCTGAAAATATTTCACAGAAATCAAGCTGTACTTTTGTTGTTTACACACACACACACACACACACACACACACACACTGGGAGAAAATATTATTGAAAAGCCTCCGAGAAGTACATCAGAAACCAGTTCTGCTTGCTCCTGTTCTCTAATTTAGTACTGACCATACAAGAGATCAGAGAGTAGCCACCCCTTCTAAACTGCAGCAGCACGACTGGGAGTCACAGGAACCTCTATTCCTCTTCACCATTTGAAGAAGATGCCAGAGGCTCCTGCTGGCAAGTTCCTCCCACTCTTCCACTGGCTCACCTGACTGAAGAGTTTCTCCTGCCATCCAATCACTGCCTCTTCTTCCTCATCATCAAGACAGCTACCTAGAAGATAAGAGGTGTCAGACCACTGTTTCATATCTCACTTGACCCTCTGACCCTGCTTCAGAACTGTGAGCAAAGAGAGCCCTTTGAACATTTCTTCTCCATTCTGTTTGGTTTTACGGGCAGCGTCTGGAACTCACAAGGTAGCCACACTGCCACATTTTGAATTCCCAAAGCACTTATACCTAGAGAACAAGATGCTTACATTCAGATCCAAGCAAGGCTTCTGGTGCTTCTCTCTATGGTGGCATGGGAAGAGTACTCGCAGCTGAAGCCCCGCCAACCACCAAAGCCTCATGTCCGCAGGCTGAATTCAATGGCTCTGCAGGCCCGATTCAGCCTGCAAGTCATAGGTTGCCAACCCCTGATCTAGACAAATTACCAGGCTGGACACTTTTCTGTATATTTTCCAGCTCTAATACCACATTAAAGAAACTACAAATGCATTAAGTCCTTATCATATCATTTTTACATGTAAGTGGTTGTAGCCGCCACCGGCATGTTAGGTGATAGTAAACAGAGTGGACTAAATGCAAGGGAAAGTGTCCAATGGAGGATTAAGACATGGTCCATACTATAGAGGTACTTGGGAACCCTTGACAAATATGCCAAGGAATTTGCTTTTCCCTGTGGACATCATTTGCTTTCTGTGGGTCTCTGAGTTTAGAAATAAAACTAGACGACAGGGAGGAATTGCTTGTTTTCATTTGCAGGAAAGAAAAAGAGCCCCATGAGTTGAACAGTCCTATGTCTAACAGTAAGTACACAACACCCTCGTTAACACAACTGCTTTTCCTCGTGAAGACATCCCCAAAGAGACAGCCCCTTAGGCTGGTTGCACTTGCATCACCCTGGCTTGAAAGACTTCAGTTTGAATCTCAAACCCACCTATTGCTCCAGAGGAACCCAAGAGAGGCAAGACCTGCCTTAGTTGGGAGGAAACATTTGATGGCCTGGGGAGGGGGAAACCTTTTCAGGCTGCAAGCCAGACCGACCCAGTTCAGGTCAGAGGTGGGCTTGTGCACCGTGGGCAGGCGTGAGGATCCAGCTGCTGTCACTAGTGCTTTCTGCAGCAGCTAGGCCGGGAAAGCACCCACCACTGCTGCTTTTCTCTGTGGTCTGTAGCTGGTGCTCATCCCCATGACAGCATGGGAAAACTTACCTGGCAGCGGAAACACCATGTATCCGGGTCCAAGAAGGCAGTTTTCCTTAAGCCCTCCCAGGGATAACTGTTCTTCTGGCGCGGTTTAGTACCCACCGAGGTGTTGGGGCTTAATGCCTATTTTATGGAAATGGGAGACTCCTCCCCAGCTTGCTCCTGTCACCACATGGTTGAAGGCAAGCGAAACTTGGGGGCATCCAAACCCCAAGCCTCCAGGCTGATGCCCGCCAAAAGACATGGGAAGGATCTAAAGCCCCGGCAGGTGGAGGATGTTCGCTGGTTGTAGGGCCACATATGGTTCGGGTCCGACTCATGGATTTGGACGTGATTTGGCTCGGAACACAACAATTAAAAAAAAAAAAAAAAAAAGACAGCAGGGGAAAACAGCTGCTGAAGGGCCCACCGCTGCGGGGGAACGCGCTGTGAGCAGAGGGGGAAACAGCAGTGGCAGCGCCAGGTGTTTTCCTTGTGCAGTCCCTGGGAAAAGCGGCAGGAGCAGCTGAGTCCTAACATCCCCCCCAAACCGGGTCAATCTGGCTGCTGAAACCTGGCTCCTAACATCTGCCCAGCACTGACCCAGTGTGGGGGGGAGAAGCTGCTGCAGCACCACATCCATGGCCGGGACCCAGCCTGCAGGCCACAGGTTGCTGAGCCGGGTGTCACCGCACTGCTGAACTGCCAGGGGCAAAAGCAGACGTGCGGACAAGCCGGCGGAGGCCCCGCTCAGCCCGGAGAGGCCCCGGGGGTTGCAGGGCGCCAGGCCCTGAGGCTCCCGGGGAGCCGTGGCTCTGAGGAGGTCTCTGCAGGGGGAGGGGGGAAGGGGGGGCGACGCCACCTACTTGCCGCGGTGCTGGGGGTGGCCGGGCCCAGGAGCTGCTTCCCCGGCGGGCTGGCGGAG